TTTCCATATTTTAATGCTCCTGAGTCTTGTTGCCTTCCCCCCTTCAGTTATCTGAGTCTATGACCTACACTGCACAAATGTGAGACTGCTGTGACAATCTTGTTTTCTGTTCTGCCTGTGTGACCCTAGTGTGTTGTTTTAGAAACATTTAATTACATTTCATAATATAACTAACAATAGTTTGCTCTGGTGTATTGCTTTTCACTAGCATAGATGGCTTGATCTTGCATGGGGACAAGCATCCTCAGCTTCCAGTGAAGTACAAGGGAGTCAAGGACACTCAGTGCCTCTCAGGATCAGATCTATGGGGCCCAATACTGCTCCCAGTTATGTTAATAGCCAATTTACACTGAATTAAAATTGGGCCCATAGACACTGCAAGCAATAAGAAGTGCCAGGCACTAGGAAAGCAAAGATACTGTGCTATCTGGGTTTGAGGGAAAAGAGACATAGAACTGTGTGTGTCATGTACATCTTGATAGATCTACAGCCCAGTTTGTTTTATTATTTTCTTCAGCATGACATACAGGAAGGGCAATCAAAATCAGCTTGGCAGAATGTGCATGAGAACTGTCTCTGGAGAGATAAGCAATTGATCAAAATCACATTCTCTGATCTCTTGGAGCCAAATCCTGTTCCCATTAAAATCAAAAGGAGTTTTGCTATTGAGTTCAATGGGAACAGGTTTTGACATTTGGAGAGGAAAGAAAAAACCACTCAAGCAAGGTGTGCTTATGCTGCAAATATCGAAGGTTGCTGACTCATGTGAGAAAGTCAGACATCTGATCTTGTCCATTGCAAGGCAGAAATCAGCAATCAATGATGTTAGAACAGTCTCTGTACCATATCCAACTCATAAATCCATCTGCAAAGGATCAAGGAAATATGAAGGCTCCAGATTACATTAAAGTCCTCAGTCTCTTGGTTAGAATGCTCCCATTAGTATATGTTCATAGTCCAGAGGCTGGAGCAGGAAAGAGGCAAAATGGAGATGTTTCAAGGCCAGGGCCTTTTAGCTTCTGCCAAGAGCCAAGTAAAGGGAAATCTGTTCTCACTGTGAAAGATGGTGTTTGGAGTCACATGAGCAAGTTACATGTTTATCAGCCCAGCCCATATTCTAGTTAGAACATTCACAAAGAGTCCATTAAATGTAGGCAGGCGTTTTCTAGGGTCCACTGTGAGTTAACTGTTCCTCAATGGGCCATTCAACTTGACTTGTCTCTTCATGTGCTGGCTAAATACTTTGTGGGCATTACCACAGCAGCAAGCAAACATATCTAATATTCATAACTTCAGATACCAAGATGAATATACATGCATAGAAAGAGAATAATCATAAGTACCAGCTATTTAATGTACATTACAATTGCCAAAAGAGAGTCTGAAAAATCACAGCATGTACCTGCGACCCTCTGTGCCAGCAACATGCCCCATTGTACTTTTGTTATTGGTTATGTAACAGAGATGGAGCCAGTGACATGACACTGTTTAGTCTACAAGGGCAAGGTTAATTTTTAGGTGTTGTGACAAAGCTCTGTCCTTGCCTCCATGGGTCCCACATTTCCTGGCAGATTTAGCAAGCCTCTAAGGCTCGCTGTGACTCTCCACAGAGCCCTTCTCTCTCTCTAGGGAGAAGGGTCACAGTCTACAGAGCCATTTCATCATAAGCCAGCTAGGGAAGTGAGGAGAAGCTATCCTTCCTTGCACAGTCTCTGTTGTCTCCCAGTCTCAGTGATTAATTGGGGGCAAAGGGCAGGGAGCCCAGGTCCTCCCTCTACTCCAGGCTCCAGCACAGGGACCCTAATAGTATCAGCTATGGTAGCTGACCTTTTAGAAACATGACATGTACAATTCCCTGGGCTACTTCCCCCACAGCAGCCCTCACTTCCTCAAGCTCTACTTCACCCTTACCTCAGGGCCTCCTTCCTTGTACCTGATATGGTGTGTACGACTCAGTCTCTCCAACAGCACAATTTCCTCCCACAGCTCCTGACATGCACCCCCACCTGACTAACTGGGAGGCTTTTAACTAGTTTCAGCCGGCCCCGATTGGCTTCAGGTGTCCCAATCAACCTAGCATTCTCCCTGCCTTCTGGAAAGTTCTTAATTGGCCCCAGGTGTCTTAACTGACCTGGAGCAGCTGCTATTTCACTTATCCTGGTGCCAGGGATTTGTTTAGCCTGGAGCTAATATATCTATCTCCCACTACTTTTCTATAGCCATCTGGCCTTGCCCCATCACACTGTTAACTTTTTAATGTTCATCGGCCTGGTATATGCTGAGGTGGTTTAGCATAACACAGGTTTTTAGGTTTGCAAATCTGTGAATCTCTGCCTCTTTGAGATTTTATTATTAATTATTATTATTTTGCTGGTCATAATGTGGGAGGGTATCCTCTCTGCCCTTTGCTCATGAGGTTATGTATGTGTCTTGTAGCACTCGTCTGAACACCAGTTGAAAGGAATTTTTTTTTTCAGTAAGCATGGACTGATTCTTTTCTCTTAGAAGGCATGCATTTTTTTCAGGTACACACTGATTGATTAACACAGAAAACAACTAGGGCTGTTAAACTTTCTTCAAATTCAACAGAAAATTAAATTCAGCTATATTTTCCAGTACAGTGATGAAATGGGTGTTTGTATATACAAACATCAACATGCTTAACTACTCACTTTCCCCCCAAATATGTAGTATTTCAGTCTGTTTATATGGAATATTGGAGTTGTGTAAGGAGCCATTTCATCATATGTTCGACTTACTAAAAGTCAAATGTTAAGTATAACTGTATCCTAAACGCATTATGGTATTATACCCAAACATTGCATTTCAATGGGAGATTCAACTTCCTTTATAGGAACAGAACAGACTCCAGAAACTCTTAACACAAAAGTGGTTCATAGTCATGCAAATAGTCCTATTGTCTTCAATGGAATTGATCAAACGATTAAGGGTTTACAGAATTAGGTTCCAAGGTTGTAAATTGAAATTGTTCTGGATGAAACTTGTTTTTTCCTACCCCTGCCCCCCCACCCCAAACGTTCTTGTTAAACCCTGGATTTGTGCTGGAAATGGCCCACCTTGATTATCATACACATTTAAGGAGAGTGGTCACTTTAGATAAGCTATTACCAACAGGAGAGTGGGGTTGGGGGAGGGGGAGAGAAAACCTGGATTTGTGCTGGAAATGGCCCAACTTGATTATCATACTCATTGTAAGGAGAGGTTTCAGAGTAACAGCCGTGTTAGTCTGTATTCACAAAAAGAAAAGGAGTACTTGTGGCACCTTAGAGACTAACCAATGTATTTGAGCATGAGCTTTCGTGAGATGAAGTGAGCTGTAGCTCACGAAAGCTCATGCTCAAATAAATTGGTTAGTCTCTAAGGTGCCACAAGTACTCCTTTTCTTATTGTAAGGAGAGTGATCACTTTAGATAAGCTATTACCAGCAGGAGAGTGGGGTGGGGCGAGATATTTTTTCATGCTTTGTGTGTATAAAAAGATCTTCTACACTTTCCACAGTATGCATCCGATGAAGTGAGCTGTAGCTCACGAAAGCTTATGCTCAAATAAATTGGTTAGTCTCTAAGGTGCCACAAGTACTCCTTTTCTTTTTGCGAATACAGACTAACACGGCTGCTCCTCTGAAAAATGCCTGAGCTGACAGATCAGAAGGAGCTTCATTCGAATAAAGGTGGGCAGATGTGTGATAACTACCAAGCTAGGAATTAAGATGAGTAACTTTCAGCAAAGTTCTTGGCAGATTCCCGAGGCAGCTAGTTTAAGGCCGTCAGTGTCCGGCATTATAATCTTCACTTATAGTTTTCTCACCCGCAAAGCTGGAAAATGAGGCACTTGTTTTCTTTGTTTTGCTGCTCCAGTTCCAGTTAACAAAATGCAAGTTAGACTATTTTGGCTGAAAAGAAGAATTCTATGTACACTGGGGACAACACTTGATTCCTGTCAGCCTGGGCTGACATCAGAATCCAAACATCCTCTAGTCAGTGCAAGCAGAGGCATTCCTCTAATGATTTGGACTTGATGTGATGCAGTATGAACGTCATGGATAATTCAGACCAATGGGGAAAAACAGAATCAAAAACAATGTTTAAACACCTTCCATCCTCCTCACCCCGCCCCTCTTGAAGACTCCTGACCAACTTAACAGCACAATGCATATGCTAACAAATTTAAACAAAGCTTTTGTTAGCATATGTATTATGCTGTTAAAGCCATATAAAGAATGAATGCCCTCACTAGCCACGTTCTGCTCCTTTAAGAGAAGGGGGCTAGCCCCAACTCTTTCCGCTACCCCAGACCTGCTAAAAATCTCTTGCTGGTACTGCGTACTGGAGGGTGCCGCCCAACTTGCCCTGCTGCCTGGATTCCCTGCAGCGCTGCACCTGGCTGAGGTTCAGGGGTGGCACCAGTCACTTCCACCCGAGGCCCTGCCCCTGGCTAGGCCAGAAGCCAGAGCTGGGAAGTAGTAAGAGCTGCCCAGGGAACCCAGGCCGCTGTGGGGAACCTCGGAGTCCTAGACTCTCCATCTGCCCTGGGTGGCACGTCCCAGGGAGTGGGAACACCAGCCCGGGGCTACTCTTGAGCGTCCCCGATGCTCTGCAGCGCTGGTCACCGCCTGTCTCTGGCACCCGGCTTGGCCAAGGGGCGGGGCCTTGGGGGAAGAGGAGGAGCCAGGGGCGGGGCCCCAGAGAGGGGTGGGGCTCTGGCATATGTCCTGTTTTTTCATTTTGAAAACGGGGTCCCCCTCGAAGGGAGGCGAGGAGGGAGTAGCAGGCATGAGTGGAACGTGCGTGGCGGAGGGGGAAGCAGGAGGATAAAATGGCGGCCCATGCTACCTGAGGAGAAGGACACAGCGGGAGAAGAGGAAAGCGGGTGGCTACAGGGGAAAGAAGCAACAGGGCAGAGCCTCGTAAATGGGTGCGGAAGGCCAGGTCTAGGGGAGAGGAGAGGAGAGGCGGAGCGCGGCCGTTGCTTCCCCACCCTAAAGGAAGAGTCACGTCCTACCGCTCCTTTAGCTTTCCAGGCCACACTCAAGATGGCGGCCAGACACAGCTAGGACGCACGCTAACGCCCCGCCCACTCCCTCTCTGATTCGCAGTCGCCGCCAGCAATCTGCAACACCACCCAATCAGCCTTTTTGTTTGGCTGGTCCCCGAAAACGTGCGGCCTAGCAGTGCTACGGCGTAGAGAGGAGCCCGGCGCCGCTGGCTGGGGGGTCCCGGCCGGGTGCGGGTTGGCCAGCATGAGCCGGCTGGGCCCTTTCCTGGTTGCGCCGCGCCTGCTCCGCCGGCCCTGGGTCCTGCCGAGGCGGCCTAGCGGCGTCTCCATAGTGACGGGACCCTGCGCGGGCCTAGCGGGGTCAGGCGCCGCCGCCTCCCTGTGCTCGGGCCCAGCGGCTCCGAGCCTGGCCATGGAGGAGCTGCTGAGCCGCTCCGTGCCCCCGCTGCCCCCCTACGAGACGAGGGAGAAGGCGCCGCCGCCGGCCGAGCTCCGCAGCGCGGAGTTCATGCGCTCCTACAGGGCCCTGGAGGCCGGGCCCCCGCGGGCGGAGCTGCTGGCCCGCCTGGCCCGGGACTTCGGCGTGGACCACGGACGGGTGGCCGAGTTCAGCGCCAAGGTGCTGCAGGCTCGGGAGCAGCAGAGGGAGCCGGGCGCCCTGCTCCAGGCCGAGGACCGGCTCCGTTACTACCTCAGCCCCCGCTACCGGGGCCTCTTCCAGCACCTGGGCCGGCTGGAGGGCGGGCTCCGCTTCCTGATGGAGCTCAGGGGCGACCTGGTGGAGGCGCTGGCGGCGCGGCATGCGGAGGGCCCGCACGTCAGGGTGAGGGGAGGGCGGGCACGGGTCGCGGGGGGCAGTGGGGCTCCTAGGTGCCGGGCTGATGAGAGGAGGGCCCAGAGTTCGTCAGCCCTTCCCCCCAGTGTTTGTGTCAATGAAGTGAAATGAGAGGAGGTGGGACCCAGCGAACAGGATGTACCTTGGGCCCCAGATTTCTCCCGAGGAGCCCGTCACGGCAATACAGATAATGATGGTGTGAGGGGTGGGAAATCCAGCACGCTGTGGAGGAAATGGTGCACTGATGGACATGATATGGCATGGCACCAGGAAGACCAGCTGCCCGTGGTGTAGGCTGCAGGTGGGAGCTGTTGTGTCTCTGCCAGCGGTTAGATGAGCCAGGAGGAAGGGAGCCATTGGCACGAGGCAACACGCTTGTGGAAAATAATAACAGGACGTAGCAGGGCGTCCTGCAACTTGTGTGAGAATTTCCATTTTGGCAGGTGGAATAATTGGCTTGGTATGAGATAACTGGTGAGGTGAATGTACTCTGATTCCAAGGATGTGCTTTAGCTACATTGGTACAACACACAGGGTGTGTCTACACAGCATTTTGGAGAAAGCCTGCCAGCTCGGGTTGACACACTCAGGGTAGTGGAGCTCAAACGGGTGCTTTAAAAATAGCTGTACAGACGGAGTCTTGTAGCTGTTGCTTGAGCTCTGAAGCCTAGAGGGTGGTGTGGGCTTCAGATCTGGAGCCGCAACTTCAAAGAGTGCTGTCTAGAGAGCAATTTGTAGAGTACTAGGATGAATACCATTAGCCTGAGTATGTCTCGAAGGCTCACTTCAAAATGCTGTGTAGAGGTGTAGTATAATGTTAATGAAGCAAAATGTTAGGAGGTGTCATCCTGAGGTGTCTTGGCGGTGGCAAGCCAGCCCAAATGTCTGGGTCTCACTGCTTGGCGGCAACAAGGACAGTGCTATTTTTAGCGTGCTCTCTCAAGTGGTGCTAGAATGTGTCTGTTACCAAGGGTGGGAGGCATGCTCCCAGTGTAAACATACCCTAAGAAGCTACTACAGGAGAACCTCAGAATTACAAACTGACCAATTAACCACACACCTCATTTAGAACTGGAAGTACACAACCAGGCAGCAGCAGACACCTCCTCTTCTTCCCCTCTCCCCCCCCACAAAAAAACCCCAGGTACAGTACTTTGTTAAACATAAACTACTAAAACAATAAAGGGAAAAAGGGAAAGCAGCATTTTTCATTTGCATAGTAAGGTTTCAGAGCTGCATTAAGTCAATGTTCAGTTGTAAACTTTTGAAAGAACAACCATAATGTTTTATTCAGAGTTATGAACAACCTCCATTCCCAACGTGTTCGTAACTGAAGTTCTACTATATAAGTGTTAGCTCTGTCTCTCATCTGAGGCTTTAGTTTAGTCTATTCTCACTTGTTTACTACAGGAAACTAGATCTGAATTCTGTTTTTTTTCTTTTACATAAGATGCACCTGTTAAATGTCAAGGAAATCCAAGGATTGCATATATCTCCAGAGTTGCCTCTCTACAAACTTCTTAATAGAAAAGAAAAAGAATAGAGGGAGGGCAATAGCTGAGTTTTAGTGTCTCGAGTTGTTAGTTCTAACTATAGCGCAGTATTTTTTAAAAAATTATCTTACTGTTTTTTGACTGCTCTTAACTAGTGAAGTCATGAGCTGGGCAAGGCTTGTGAATTTGAGCAATAAATGAGGGAAATATATCCAATTCTGGGACATGTGTACGCTTGCCTGGGATGTTTGTGAGGAATTTGTTTGAAATACTCTAAAATATATACATATTTTAGCATGTTTGGATAGTGTTGCAATTTTAAAACAATCACTTTAATGTTTTTGCTCATTTGTTTCTGAGACTTGTGGATAGAGCCTTGCACGGGTGCAAAATTTATATCCACGGATGCAGATAATCCATAGATATAAAGTGAAAAGAAAAGGAGTACTTGTGGCACCTTAGAGACTAACCAATTTATTTGAGCATAAGCTTTCGTGAGCTACAGCTCACTTCATCAGATGTATATAGTGAGCTGTAGCTCACGAAAGCTCATGCTCAAATAAATTGGTTAGTCTCTAAGGTGCCACAAGTACTCCTTTTCTTTTTGCGAATACAGACTAACACAGCTGTTCCTCTGAAACCCTGTCAGATATAAAGTGGTTATCCGGGGAGTTGCAGGGCTCTACCAGGAACTGCAATGGCAAAACCGCAGGAGATACAGACCACTGGATGGAAGGGACTCCTGTCCGGGAGCATATGAGCCGCTTGCACACACTAGCGTGACCAGGGACAGCTGCTGGTGAGCCTGGTGGGGGGTCGTACAGTCACTTCAGAGGAACTGCCCAGGATGGGCGCTGGCTCTTGCGAGCGACTGCCTGACATGCTGCTGCTTTCGCTACTACATTTCCTGGTAGAGCCCTGCAGCTCACCAGATATCCACTTTATATCCATGGATATCCGCATCTGCAGATATAAATTTTGTATCTGTGTAGGGCTCTTCTTGTGAATACATGTCAGTGTATCCTCATCAACCAATCAGACTGCTCCCTTAGTTCATTCTTTTAAAGATTGTTTTAATGATTGAAATTTTAAAGATAGTGTGGTAACTGCTGGTTTTTGTTTACAGTTCTGCAACTCCTGTTTGCTCAATATGAAACTAATGAAACCTTTTTTCAGAGTAACAGCCGTGTTAGTCTGTCTTCGCAAAAAGAAAAGGAGTACTTGTGGCACCTTAGAGACTAACCAATTTATTCATTAATCCGATGAAGTGAGTTGTAGCTCACGAAAGCTCATGCTCAAATAAATTGGTTAGTCTCTAAGGTGCCACAAGTACTCCTTTTCTTTTTAATGAAACCTTCTGATGCATATTTCCTTCATTCCCTGCAGGATGGGTAAACTCCATCCTCTAGTGAATTTTATGCAGTCTTTATAAAAGCATTTTTTTCCTGCAGTTCATGGCTCTGCTTTTTCCAGTTGGGGCCTTATGTCCAAACAGCTGGCCCATTGATTAATGAAATCTTATTTCATGTGCCAGCATTGTAATTCTTATTTTTTCAATTGCTCCCCCCCAACCCCCCCCCACACCTTGGTTGATGATGTCTCTGATTAGTGATCTGATATAGCTGAACTCATTAAGTTAACAGGAGAACAGTGGATGTCTTGATGTGATTTGTTTGTTTGTTTTAAATGGGTGGGGCACATCCCTCCTATTTTTTCTAGGTTATTATTGGCAGCCTTTCTTCAGGAAAATTATTTTGGTGCCATCGTATTATGCATTGGTTCCTTCAGTTCAGTAGAGAGGATTCATACAATGGGGTTTCGTAACTCAGCCCATGATATCTCCGTTTAAAGCTGAAATTATCTTGACTTGATTTTGATCACAAATCTTGTTGAAAAAAACAGAGTTCTCTTGGAAATGTTTATTCTCAGTATTGGTTATGACACTGCGATGGTTCAGTAACCACTGATCCTAGTCCGGCAGATGATTAAAAAACAACTGTACTGCCCCCTATTGTCTTCCTCTGAGCTGAAGGAGGAGTGCTAGACTATAGAAAAGGGCACAGAACAGTCTTCTCAGAACTTATGGTAAGGCTGGTAGCTGGATTCTGCAATACTAGAACTAAATATGTGACCATTTCTCCATCAAAATCTTTACAGGTATTGTTTAAATGGAAGGATGGCAGACCATTTAGTGATTATTTCTCTACCACAGGTGCATTGCTATTGAATCATTACTGTAGTAGATGGTGAAATGGATGCAACATTTATCATTCTGTAGTTATACCTGAGTATTTATATCTTCAGTGTAATGGATAAATAGACTTGGTTGGTCCAGTTTTTAAACCAGCCTATTGATGGTAAAAACTTAAATAAATAAGTGTTTGCATGAATTATACTGCTTTTTCCAATGTTGAGATAAAAATTGTTAGGATGCAGAGAGGTAAGTCTCCTTCTGTGTTCACCTCATTTGATTCAGTTCCATAATGACACAGTGCCCAGGTATTGTGTGCCTGGCTGTATCCCACTCTTAAATGTGGTTGGTAAATGGATGATGATAGGTGCCATGCGCTGATGTGACTGAACTCCTTCTTTTTATGCATAATTCAGTGGTGATCTTGATTTTTTTTTTTTGTAAGTGGCATAGCTGTCATGAGCCTTATCAAGGTAGGTTTAGTTCAAAAGACTATTTTATTTGTAGCAAACAAAATCTAAGAAACTGAGTAGAATAGTCCCAATTTTCAGTTCAGGAAGACCAAAGAATCTGAACATAAACATTGAACAAGGCATTGTATACACACTGAATAGAAAAAGGAGTACTTGTGGCACCTTAGAGACTAGCAGATTTATTTGAGCATAAGCTTTTGTGAGCTACAGTTCACTTCATCGGATGCATGTGCTCAAATAAATTTGTTAGTCTCTAAGGTGCCACAAGTATTCCTTTTCTTTTTGCGAATACAGACCAACACGGCTGCTACTCTGAACACTGAATAGAGGGTAGTATAAAGAAAAGAACACCCTGCAAATACGGAGGAATTTGTATTCAGGGTTAGTATTCTAAGGTAAAACAGCAGAATCATGACTAACGGCCCAGAGAAAATGACTAGACTCTTCATAGACTAGTTGCTAAGAAACAGTAAATGACTTCCTGGTAGACTCATAGAAGATGATAGATACTTCTGACCCAGCTGCAGAACTGTTTAGACAAACCTAGCAACAAAAGTTCAGCTGTGGACTATGTTGGTGGTAACTATATAGTTCTTCCCCTGTGGGTATGCAAAAATGCTTTTTGGTGTTCTGAGTCTGCTGTCTGACAGGATGCGTACTCCCTTTTCCTTCAGCTAATGCAGCCATGGAAGGGCAACCCCACCTATATAGGTGGCCCCAAGGAAGTATTGTGTGCCTAAAATGGACTGCTATCTTTGCCTTAAACTCTTATATAAGACCTGCAGATCAGCGCAAAGTGCACTGCAAAATAAACAGTTTGCTGTTACTGAT